AGAGAGAGAGAGAGAGAGAGAGAGAGAGAGAGAGAAGAGAGAGAGAGAGAGAGAGAGAGAGAGAGAGAGAGAGAGAGAGAGAGAGAGAGATAGAGAGAGAGAGAGAAGAGAGATGAGGAGAGAGAGAGAGAGAGATAGAGAGAGAGAGAGAGAGAGAGAGAGAGAGAGAAGAGAGAGAGAGAGAGAGAGAGAGGAGAGAGAGAGAGAGAGAGAGAGAGAGAGAGCACGGAGGCTTACTTCCACCTATGGTGGCTGAAGACGTCCCGGAGTTGTCCAACGTGAAAGCACGAGCAGAAACAGGCCGTTATTCGATGCAGGTTTTCATCATGCTCAGCTGGTGCTTCGGTGTAGTTGTCAGTCATACACACTTAGCTGGGCATACCAGTGGGTCACAATTCCGCGATACAGCCATATGAAGTGGATTGCCGGACTCCATTGTGTCAGGCTGCGCATCCCTTAAATTTTAAGCTTAGCGCCATCACTTCCAGGCTCCCTTCGATCTTAAATTGACATCTCTTTTGTTTTCGCATGCTATTAATTTAGCTTCCACTTGAATGTTCATGCTATTCGGACTCCTGCTTGGTTGGACGGCGCCAGCTTGATGTCATGTCGGAGGCGCTGCCCATGACCTCGTTGGCTGTGCGTGATTCGCTGCCGACGAAGCTTTATGTTCAATAAGCACGGGCAGACAGGAAACAGTCTGGACGCACTGTACACTTGAGTAGACTGGTTTTGCTACAGCGTCATGCGATCATCACAACTCAGGCCACCTCGCCCAGCTAAATGGGCATGGTTGCGTGTTTTTTCGAGGTTTTATTGGATCTGCAGTCGTTTGTGATAATGAGAAATGTGTTATACAGCTCAGACATGAAAACGCGGGGAGGGCCCGAAGCGCAATTTCGCCATACACTGACCTCCCGACTTGAGACAGAATTAAAGGGAGTGTTCCACATTTAAAGATATCAAACCAAGCATCAGATAAGATGAAACAAGCTTACTTATAACTTTTGGGATACTGTTAGGTGGAAAAGACTGCTCTAAACAACACGATATCTCTATCCAGTAAATACGCTCGTTTTTGCTTTTAACTCGTCATTGTTTGATTGCGTCATCTTACATTGCGTGACATTAATTGAGAGACAATTGACGGCCGTTATATCTGGAAATCATCTGCTCGCAAACGTCAGATATGAACGACTCGGCAATTACTTCTTTACTGGCGTTGATCGCCTCATGATCAATAGAATGGCAGGATTTGAATGACGTGAACATGACATCATGGATGCATGGATGACGTTGAAACAGCCTGCACAAAATAGCCTGTAGATCTTCGCGGGCACATAGCTCAGAAACTAGAGCGCTTAGGTCTTAAAACCCGACATTGGCCGGGGTCAAATCTGCCCCCCCCCCCACTTTAATAATCGCGATAATTCAGAAAGGTCTTGTGATATCGCTGCGACATGTTGAGTACCTATTGACTGATGAGTTCTGCAACTTGTACCAAAATAACAACTATAAAGCTGCAATAGATTAAGCATGAGTGACGTCAGGAGTGACGCCATGTTTCCGCTTTTTTCAAAGACGCATGGTCGTAGACAAATTGACACAGAAGCCGAACGAAAGAATATATTTTACATCTGTCAATGGGAGAGATAACCCATTAAGTCCATCACTCCTACGCTTTGACGGGGAATACTGCACCTTGAAATATTGGCATGACAAATAACACCAAATGGATAAAAATTACCCGCAATATTTCTTCACCTCAACTCAAAATTATGGAAACTCGAAAATGGTGTTCTAGATATCCCTATGAAGGATGCCTGTACCAAGTTTCGAGTAATTATCTGTAACAATGACTGAGTCATGGCTTGGAATGCATCACAGCGCACGTTGCCCGTGCTCAGATGCTCCCGGACCCGTGGCGGCAGGAAGCGGGCCTCAGGTCTGCCGTGGCGGCGCGGGGACGGGCCTCAGGTCTACCGCGGCAGCAGACGGCGGGGAAGGGGCTCAGGTCTGCTGCGGCGGCGGGCCTCAGGTCCGCCGCAGCAGCGCGGTGACGGGGCGGTGGAAGCCGCTTATCAGTTTCACACGCATACAGACGACCACGTGACTGACGGCGGGGTTGAAGGGTATCAGGCTACGCTGCCGGCTGGACGGAACCATCGAAAACAACGTGAAAATCGGCCCCACCGCTTATTGATCACCGAGGTGATCAATTTGACCTTGACCTTAGAGGTTTATGAACAAGCAACAGCTCTCGCTCACGTGTCTGATGTCCATAATTGTAGCCAAGCTCTTTCACTTCGCGTTTAGATATTTTAAAGATGACGGAAATGAATAAACCAAAGTAGACATAAGGACCGAGGTTTCAGGTTTCATTTGCACGGAACGTGACCTTGGCCCTAGGCTTGGTACGGCGCGGGTAACATTGGACGTCTTCCTATATAGCATGCTTGATCAGGGCTCAGTGATTTCACACCACAGGATACGCTTCTAAGTGAAATGCGTCATGGGAGCGCCCAGGTATCCCAAAAAAGTAGTTTTTCTACGATTTGACCTTGATCTGTGACCTTCATGAGCACCTAAACTCAAGTTTACTGTGCGTTCTGAGACCACCCACCGCGGCGCTGTCGACTGCGACTTAACTTTTTGAATCCGACAACGCCGTTCCTGAGATTAGCAGACGGTGGGGTCAAACCTGCCTCCTCCAGTCAATTGTGTGCCATTAAGGAGTCCGGCCAAGGCCGGATTAAGAAGGACAGGGCTATGAACTACACTAGGTGATCTTCTAGGTGTTTTTTCAATTAAAACCCCATAGCAATGTCGAGCATACCTTTTTAAGTACAATATTAGTGGCATTATAATCGCCCATATTCTGGCACTTGCCCTACTCCCGTGTTTCAATGTAAAATATCCGCGAAAGGAAAAAGGACCTTTGTGACCGTTGCGTCAAATCCAAAAATAATTACCATGCACGGTCTGCGCACTGGAAGCAAAGCAAGGCTTCACAACGATGCAGCGTTTTCGTAAACAATGCACCTAAGATGGATCACCGGCAGAAGCTCGCAATAAAAGACTTTAACCGTATATGACCAGAGCATAAGCATGAGCATGGCGTGTTATCTAACTTTACCTCCTCTGTTACGTCCAATGTTACGTCGCCTCGCGGCATGTCCGTGCCGGTAGCTCAATAGGTTCGAGTGTGCGTATTTAGATTCACCCACTCGTGGTGGAATTGGTTCAAGTCGCTGCAAGCGTCCGCTGTTTGTCCCTGACCGGGATGGCCTGCGGCAGGTGGCTGCGACCGCGCTTAAGATTATGTGACGTTAGAGGGTAGGACGGACTGTGCCGAGCACTATGGCAAGTTAAATTTTCACCGCAAAATCCTGCCGTTAGCCCGAAATTATATGACGTCAGGGGGTAGGACGGACTGTGCCGAGCATTACGGCAAGCTAAGTTTTCGCTGCAAAATCCTGCCGTTAACCCGAAATTTTACGACGAGATGGTGGGACCAGGCAACAAGCAATGCTTGAACTGGGCCTTGTTCCCCCATAGTCCATGCAATTCAAATGTTCAGATCAAATCTAAACAACTGCCTCAGCTTTGGCCACGCTTTGCAGCCCTGCTGTCGCTGCAGGAAGCGGGCTGACGTTCATTCACATCCAGGCTTTCGTAACGTTTACCGCTTTGGTGAACAGTGGATGCTGTTATGACAAATTGTGTTAATGTGGTGCACAACAAAAAATAAATGAAATAGGTGTATTATTTGAAAGTCACTGGGACGGGGTTAAAAAAACAATAAGTGCACGCCACCCGCTCCTGGTCAGGGCAAAGCTTCCAGGCGTGTTTCCGAGAGTTTCGTGCGACAACTCGAAAAAGTTCCCCGCGAATTTATTTTTATTTATTTCCTCGGCCTGTTAAGCGCATTTGCGGGAGCATTAAGCATGCAGAAAAGACAGTGCTGTTAGCCCCATTCCTCGTAAAAGAAGCAGGAGAAAGCGTGATGCATGATATCTGTTGAATGGGCAACAGATCGTGTATAGGTGATGCTTTTCACACATTTTTATCCTTAGCTGGATACACACCGTATCACATTAATGGCTGGCGATGACGTCTCGGTTAATGCCCTCAATGCTGGTGACTTCCAACAATTGTAGCTCGCTGTTAAAAAGAAGAAAACAACCTGAAGAATTGATCGAGATCGGCAGGCCGCTTTGAAATTTTGAATTTGCTTTCCATTGTCGTTTTGGCAAAGGCATGTTGCCGAAATATCAATACACCTTTCTCTCCTTTCTCCTGGTTATTCTACAAGGAATAAGGCTAACAGTACTACCTTATCTATATGATTCATGTCCGTCGCACGAATTCATTGATCGGGATCGGGCAGTGCTGATCTGTTGTCACGACCTCAGACGGTTTCTGGTCGCCGCCTTCCCGTTAGGGTAACACGTGTCGCATGCCAGTGCGCCTGTCACGGCCGGTGGTCACGCTACTCACGACACAGCCGGTCGCCGGAGGCCGACCGACGCACGGTGCCGGCCGCTGCCCGAGGCCCCTGTCGGCCCGGCTGCGGCGGGTACGTCACAGCGGCACGTGGCGGCCGGCTCCGAGCACGTGACCGGCGCGCCGCGCGCCGGTGGCGGCCTCACTCGTGTGTGAGCCGGACCCGAGCATGCCCGTTCGGCAGGAGCCTCCGCGGCCGCCGCTGATCTGGTCTCTCCTCTCCCAGCAGGGTCGGCCGGCCCACACCATGATCATGAACGGGCTCTCGCCTGACGCCGAGAGCGCGGTGGCCGCCTCACCGCGCCATCCGTCTCCCAAGCAGCCGCCGGCCATGACAGGGCCTCCTCCGCTGCCGCCGCCGCCGCTGCCGCAGCCGCAGCCGCTGCCGCTGCCGCTGCCGCCGCCGCTGTCGCAGCCGCGGCCGCGCACCGGCCGCCGCGCTGCGCCCGGCGCAAATCCGCAAGGCGGCTACAACTGCCGCTTCTGCGCCAAGTTCTTCAGCAGCCGCAGCAACATGGTGGTGCACGAGCGCACGCACACGCACGAGCGGCCGTATACGTGCAGCTATTGCGGCCGCACGTTCTCGCAGCACGGGCAGATGGTGATTCACGTGCGCTCGCACACGGGCCAGCGGCCCTTCAAGTGCCCGCACTGCGTCAAGGCGTTCACCTCCAGCAAGGTGCTCAAGATTCACATCCGCACGCACACGGGCGAGAAGCCGTACGCGTGCGAGCACTGCGACAAGCGGTTCGCCGCCTACGCCAACTTGGTGGTGCACCGGCGCATCCACACCAAGATCCGGCCCTACAAGTGTGAGTACTGCGGCCGTACCTTCGAGCACAGCGGCAACCTGCAGCGACACACCAAAATACACGTGCGCGACCTCGGTAAGATGCGTGAAGTGGCTGCTGCTGCTGCGGCAGCGGCGGCCGCGGCGCGGCTGCCAGGTCCGGATGCGGCGCCAGCGTCAGCACCGGCGCCGACGCCAGCCATGCCGCGCGGCTCCATCACGCACGGCATATCGGGACCGCCGCCACCGCCGCCGCCGCCGCCGTCGGTGCGGGCGCCGGCGCCGGCACCGCCCGTCACACCCGCCGACGGCGACGCGGCGCTGCTCAGCCTGCGCTGTCGCCTCTGCCAGGTCATGTACGGCTCAACCACGGAGCTGCTCGACCACCGATGCCCGGAGCTGCGCGAGCGGCTGGAGGGGCGTGCCCTCCCCGGCCTGCCGTTCGCTGAGCCGATCTCCGGGCTGCACAAGCTGCCCACCAGCTTCCTCGAGCTGTACGACTACATCCAGCAGCTGCGCGAACAGGCCTGCCAGCAGCAGAAACAGCAGCAACAACAGCAGCAGCTGCAGCATCAACAACTGCAGCAACATCAACAGCTGCAGCAGCAGCAACAAGAGCTAGCACGAAATCAGCTACAACAGCGTCAGCAGCAGCAACAGCAGCAGCAGATTCGCAACCACCACCAGCAGCACCTGCAGCAGCAGCATCAAACACAGCAGCAACAGCACCACCATCACCACCAACGCCTACTGCAACAGCACCACCAGCACCCGCATCCACTGCCCGACCGACAGCACGCGCACGGTCACTTCTGCTGCGGTCCAAACCGCTGTCCCCAGCACGCTGTCCACCAGAGTCCGCCTGCGCAGGGCATCTATCCGCCGGCACTACGACCGCCGCCTCCGCCGCCGCCTCACGACAGGCCGAGCTACAGCTCGCTGTCCAGCGACGCAGAGCTGCACGCGCTCTCGCTGCGCGCGGGGTTCGCGTCGGAGCCGATGCCGATGCCGACGCCGACGCGGAGCCGCAGCGGGAGCGGCAGCAGCGGCTCTGAGCGGCGGGCGCCGGCCGCGCGCACCGAGAAGACGGGCGTGCCCAAGTTCACCTGGATGTCGACGTACCTGGCCGAAGAGAGCAGCAGTGGAGCGGAGGCGGAGCGCGAGGAGCCGGCGCCGCCGGCGGGCCTGGTGCGGCCGGCGGCCATGTGGCCGCGAGCGCCGCTGACGAGCGGGCCCCGCTCGCCGTCCGAGGCTGGCAGCCCGCGCGGCTCCCCCGGCCGTGAGCGGCCTCGCAGCGGGCTCGGCACCAGCCTCGGTGGCCGTGCCCCGCTGCCGGCCGGGCCGGGCTCGCCGGCCGGCTCCGACCGCTCCGAGTCGCGGCTCGTCATCGATGAGGGCGAGCCGTCGCCGCCGCCGCCCCGGCGCCGCCGCGCGCTGCCCGGGCTCGTGCCGATCGGCCAGTACGGCCGGCCGTAGACGGTCCTCCGCTGTCCTCGTCGCCAGCCCGCGGCGACGCGTCGGCAGAGGCGGACGTGGTCCGCGGGCGTCCTGACTGGCTCGGACAGACCGTGGCGCTCAGTGAAGCGACGTGTGTTGGTGCTTGCGTTGTAGGGCCGACGACGCGGCGCCCGGAATCGAAAGTGGCGACCTTGCTTCGTTCCACAGCGCCTATCGTGGTGATGTGGTGTCTACCTGCACTGTTTTTTTATTGTGAGGGCTTTTGTCCACGGCACCTGACGCCGGGTTGTTGCATAACGTGGGAGTTGTTTGCGCTGTGCACCTTGTTACCCGCTGACTGGGTGGGGAAACTTTGACGAGGTGCCGGGCTTTGGGAATACCGTGCCCACCTGCCGTGCCTGTATCAACAAAGTGCAATTGTACTGCCAGCAAACGCTTGCTGTCACTATGCTCAGTCTGCACCACAAAGTATGCTGTGCATATTTTTACTGCGGTCAGACCTCCGCTCGAATCACGGACTTGTGTTGTCCACGGCTGTTGCTTCACGTGATGTTGAATCTGTGTTTGTTGAGCACATCTCCCGTGTTGTTACGGTACGGTGGTTTTGTTTTTGTTATCAGTTGTTCGGTCAAGCCCTGATTCCAGTGCACGCATGTAATAAAAAATAAATTATGCGGATCGGATTGTGTTTTAGTTTTACCACAGGCTTATCTAGGCTTCCAGAGCGGAGTAGGTGAGCAGTTGGTTACTCTACACCAGCGCGGGAATGCATGGACGCACCCGTTCTTCATGTATGTGGCTATGACTCGGGACAGCTGCGCCGTGAAAGGTAAGGAAGGATCCCAACAGTTGCAACACTCACTGCGAGTGATCGATCGCATCCTGTTGAGATTTGCTTTGCTCCTGTGCTCTATGGTCTCTGTCTCTGCCTAACCTTTCCACCCGTGGCTCACCAGTCAAGCCAGATCGTTTCTGAACAGTGCTGCTACGTATATGAGGCAATTACCCAACACGATCAGGGGTAGTAAAACGTACCAACTTGGTGGCTAAGATCGGCGACAAAAATGCGTGTTCAAACGACGCTTGGTGTTAAAATGTGTTGGATCAAAAGTTTCGGTGACGGCCACGACAAAATATTGCAGCGTGCATTTCAAAACATTACATGAGTCTTCAGTGGTAATGCATTTCATCCCACAACACCACCAAGCCTTTCCGTAAAAACCCTTTTCTGTGCCCCACGGCGCCATGATATCTTTCTTAGATCTCATCCAAACTCTCAGAACCCTAAACTAGAACGTAGAAAATACTGGGAAAGATCCGGAAATGGCGATTCATCTGGCCAGAAGGGTATGTTTCAATCGTTGTAATGCAGCTGCGATGCGTGAGAATGGCGGCGACTTTCAATGAACTGTGGCCTTGCGAACAGCATTCGCATTGCAGTTTCATCAATACCTATTCAGGTTTAATTTTGGGGCCTTGTTAACGTCACTGATTGACAGTTCAGGGAAAGTCGGCGAGATGATCCAATCAGAGTAGAAATTGACCTGTGGTGATTCAGACAAGGTAGAAATGAGCTTTCTTCCCTTCGTAGAGAGCCGTGGGTTCGGTGCTGGGGGCTGACGGCAGTCCTCTAGGTAGGGGATGACGGGATGTGAGGATGGCCCTGAACTGCCAATTGATGCCATCGTTGCTTTGTTCCTGGTTGAGCATGGTGGTGTTAACCTGCACTGTTTTTTAAGGTGCAAGGTAAGGGCGGGGATGACGGGAGGTCATCCACTCGAATCGATCTTGCAGGGAGTGGTTAGATAGGGTGATTTAGTCACATTCAGAGCAGTCTTGACACTTGGGGTCTTTTAACTGTCTAATGCCGTTTTGACCACTGGGAGGCCCCTTCCAATGCACAAGAGACGTTCTGGGTGTTCGATGGACCCCCTAACTGATCCAAGGCACTCTGGACACTCAGAAGTTCAGCAAATGCCCAAGGCTGCTGACCAGCTTTGTGCCCCTCTTGCCGCTCAGAGACCCTGCTCTTAAGCGGCCTGTCCAGCCAATTCAGGGACCGTTTTGGCCCCCAAGCAGTTTTTCAGCCGCTGACATTTTTTCTGGCTGCTCAGGGTCCCCACTGATCTGGCCGTCAAAGCCTCCTAGCCACGACTGAGGTGTTGGCCAGAGATTCTGTGGGGTATGGGGTTAGGGGGTGGGAGGAGTGTCCATTTTTCCCAGACCCCTTAAGACGCAAAGCCTGGGGTTTTGTGGAGGTTATGCAGACCCCTTAAAACGCAAGGCCTGGGTTTTGTGGAGGTGTGTGGGGCCACCAGAGAGAGAAGCAGGTGACACCACATAGCATCAGGAGCTCTGTGCGACGTAAAGCCCCAGTGACAACATCCGTTCACGGGCCGCACTGACCTCTCGACTTTCTGTGTACTCAGCACCCCCCCCCTCCCCCCTCCCCCTGGTCGTCCACGAGCCGTTCTGGTTGATCAGGAAACCGCTGGCTACTGAGGGGCCGCTTGTGAGTGGGGCCCCTCTCCGACAGCTTAAGGACTTAACTGGTCCGTCCAGAACCCCGCCCGCTGGTTACGAAAGGGAACTTTTGATTGCTTGTGGGTCCTTCTGATCATCGAAGTGTTCGTTTGGTTGCTGATGGCCTTCTAGCCGGTTAGCGATCCATTTGGTGGCCATAACATGTATCTTTAACAACACGATCCCTTTGGAGATCGGTTTAGAGGACCGAGAAGTGCTCAGGGTCATATCAGGCCAATGAGGGGGCTGCCCTCGGACCACTGAAGAGCCCTCCGACCACTGAGAGGACCTCAGTTCTCAGGGCCCACGATCCACTTAGGCCTTCATTAGGAGCTCAAAGTCCTTCATATCCTCAGGACCTCTCGATATTCGTAGCTCTTTTAGCTGACAATGCCTGGATCTGCCAGTACATTCCGAATGCAGTTGGGTAACGCTATATTACAGTTGGTAAAGCTATGGAACCCTTGGCAAGATTAAGAATTAACATTGACGAGCATGTTCCTATTTTGAGGGGCTTAAATTTGATTTCGCTGTTAAAAACGGAGCTGTAGATAACCCCGCATTAAGTAAAACCTTCGGACGTCTTCTGCGCGGAAAACATGTTGAAGTGCTGCTCAAAAGGGCTGTGCATACCAATCTTCAGTCACACATTTATGCGAGGCTTTATCTGCGTGAAGCTGAAAAAAAATTCAGGGTATGGCGCAGGCAGGGACAGACGCGTAAGTTTTTTAAAAAAACTAACGATTTGATGCCTTCGTTGCGTCTAAATCAGCGAATGGACTGTTGAGCCTAGGTATGTAAAGGCTCATAGAGACGGCTAAGATCGGTGAACGTTGATTGTGTCATGTTGGTGGAAACACATGTCACTGCATTGTTCAAATGACAGGAAATCAAAAAGTTTGCGCCTGGAATTTCAGGCACCTTCGTTTTCTCAAAGCATGTAACAATCTTCTAAAGTTGGACTGCAACCGTACATGATCGCTTTTTGTTGCTGTTTTATTTTGCTCAGTGTGACAAGAATATAAAAGAACTAGTATTTGTCTTCTTCAAAACGTTCTGTGGGCCCATCTCTCCGTGACCCGGACGCGTCCTTCTTCCAGCACGCCCCCCTGCCTCTTCCTCACCATTTGCGCAATCGCCTTCACCTCAATCGGAGCCCAATCCGAAACCCAATATATTGCTTCTTCCTTTCTAGGCGGCTTAGAAACCCAGTTAAAACTCGTATAGACCAATTGTTGGGACGCAGCGAAAGGCGCCCACCAGACAACACATGTCATGCCGGGCTTGCAGCATGCCTAAGATATGATGGGGAGCATCATGGCGGTTTGGGTAAGGCTCGACGCGCACACGTGGTTCCCATAAGGGGACACGTCCCCGAGGAGGTCCGCATGTTGGACGTCATCCTCCAGTGCTGCCTGTCACAGGTTGGAATTCTGCCATGTACTCAGCTTCTCCGGATGTAGAGGCCCTTCACCATTTTTTTCGCGGTCGAGGATAGCAAATCCAGCCGTAGATCGAGTTTTGCCGTGAGGCCACGGTAAGTCCCGATGGTGGAAGAAGACAGCCTTTGTGGTTGGACCATCCCATCGTAAAGGGCCGGCGTGTCTGCATTCTCCGCAGCAGCGGTTATCCTGGCATCAGTTGAATTCCACTGTATAAATGAGCGTTTCGGTCGTGTGCGTGATATCGCAAGTTGCGACGATGGCGGAGGCTTTCGGTGATACGCCGATTCCTGATGACGCACTGGGCATGAATGTCATCGCCATTTCATATCATATGGCATCGTTTTATGCTACTTGCGACAATTCTATCCGCAGAAATTCGATCGGTGCCAAAAAATACACTTTCACCACCCCTGAGCACGACTCTGACTATAATCCACCTGAGGCAGTCATGATCAGCTTACGGGCTCGCTAAGCCTCGTCTGCGTTTGCCGGGCGACGGAACTGGCGCACGTCTGGCGTCCACCGCGGTTAAGCCGGTGCCCCATGACGGACAGCGTAACACACACGTGCCTCACCACACCTGTGAAGAACTGCTAACTCAGCTTGAGGCATACACGGGGCACCCCTCAAAAGGTTCAGAGACGCGTCCAACTACCGCTCTAACGCCGTTTGCGGATATGAGGCCAAAATTGCGCGCCAATCTTCTCTCAAGCCGCCGAGTTTCTCCTGCCGACAGTCACTGACTTATGGTCAGCTGTCTTGAATCACGTCCACATGGACGATTGCTCTGTGAGATTTCAAGCAAACCATGTAGTTTTTTTATAAATTTATCCCGAATGGCTTGTATGGGTGACTTCGGATTCAGAGTACCTGCTAAGCATAGCTTGTTGCGTGTACCCCGAACCCACCACCCAAGCGTGCCGTCCATTTCAACAGATAATTTTGCCTCCGCCCTTTCGCCGGACAGGAATGCGGAGGGTTTTACGTGCCGCACAATGCTGCGACACGGCCGCCTCGGGTCTGGGTTGAGCCTCGTTGGCCAGTTGCCAGCTGGCCTTTCCATTTCAGTCGGGTCAAACAATGCGCCCACTCTGGGACTCGTACCCAGTGCCGCTGGATTACGAGTCCAGCATCTTTCCCCAAGACCACGGAGGCGGCAAATAATGTGAAGCAAACCATGCAGTTTTAATGTGAAGACTGGAACACGCCGCGCTAACCTACATCAACCTGCTACGCTGCTGTAATCGGCTCAGAGAGGCTTGCAAATCATTTTTCTTTCAAGTCACATCAGGCATTTCACGAGTTGTCACTCTAAGCAATAAGTTGCTAGGGTGCGCTACCTGAAATTTACGACCGCTCGCAGGCCCTTCCAGAAATTTAATTAGCAGTTGGTCGTATGAATTGCATACGGACTTCCTGTGCCCACAAACTTTATGACATGAGCCCAGTCGTAGTACCTTTAAAGGTCGTCATACGTCTCCTATTTTTCTTTGCATTCGTCATATGTCTCCCATTTCACTTTGTATAGCTGTCTTCACCCCTCCCCTGACAGGCCAAAACGCCAGATAAGAGCCTGTTGCATAAGAGCGATGCATCTCGTGACACGAGCTCTGTGAGGGCTTAAATGATCTAAACATAGGCATGCCTCACGGCCATCTCGAGGCAAGAAGAGGCTTGGCTGGTGTTGACAGAGCAGCTGTAAGGACCGTCCGGACTGCATGACGCTGACTTGTGCACGGGCCCAGCAAACAGCCCCTCCACACGAGGTTCGAGGCTTGTAACAACTGAACATCACACTCTGCTAGAAAGATGGTCCTAATAAAGAGAAGGGTTTGCTGCACTCTCCACGAAGCTTTAGAGGGAATTATGAAGTGACGCAAGATGTATCGATATGAAAGAGAACGACCGTTATCAGGGAAAGTACTGGCAACAAGCAGTTGTGGAGCATGTATAAAGGTTACAGTCTCTGACTATGTCAAATGAAATAGCCGCCTTAATTTCAAACCAA